TTTTTTTTTTTTTTTAATAAAAGGTGTCCCCGCACGCCCCGCCTGTGTCAGGGCCTGTTCACCGGGCTCAATCCCCAGAACTTCAGTGCAGCTCACTTCCCCGTTAAAGTCGTCCATTTCGTGGGCCCTAGTTCAACTTCCATGCCCGTGTAGCTCACTTACTCTGGGTGAAAGCTGCTGTGACGGTGGCTCTCTGTAATCCTGACGGTAGTTTTCAGAGTAACTGCCCCCTCCCCTTCTTCCCACCTCCTCTTCTTCAGCTGGCAGAGGCTCCCCAGGAGTGTCCCGTGCTCTCGGCGGTATCGTCCTGTGCAAAGAGCCGGCCGTAGTCGTAGCTTCGCCGGTGTGCCCGCGGTGCCGTGGCGTCCCTCCTCAGCTTCTCTCCGCCTTCTCCCGTTCGCCTTTCTCTCGGCGGCCGAGACAACATCCGGGACTCTCCCCCGTTTGGGTTAAGTGCCCGGAACTACTTTCACAAACGACGCACGCACATGAAGGTTTTTTTTTTTTTTTTCTCTCTTTTCTTTTCTCTCTCTGTCTCTCTCACCACCCTGCCGCCACAGAAACTAGCGCGCGGTCAAACGCACCAGCCCGCAGTGGAAACAGCAGCGGGTACAAACCTAACCTATCACCTTAGCCTCGTCGATCAATTGATCAGGATATCAGCTGAATTTGGAGAGCATTGCGAGCGGATGAAAACACTGAAATGTTCTTATTGGCGTAAGACTGAAACACAGGAGGTGAGAAGACATGAGTGATAAGACATAAAGTCCGGAGCATAGAATAAAAAGCAGAAGAAAGCAAGATAGTCCACGTGTCTGATAAGTCACCTTTTATAAGTGTATTTATTAAAGTGTAATAAAATATGTACTAATGCTTTAAAATAATAATAATAATAATAATAATAATAATAATAATAAAGAAGCTTTGGGTTGCCAGGTTGAGGAAAAATCCCATTGACTGTGTGTGTGTGTATAAATATATGCTTGTGTGGTTCACACTTTGTAATAAGTCTGCAGTTTTATGTTAATATGTTGTTAATAAATTGATTTGGGTCCAGATTTGCTGCCGGTTTGTCCAGAAATGGAAGAATCCCTTAGAAGGTCTTCATGATTCAGATCTAAAAATATTTCTGCTGCTGGATAAACACCTACGAGACAATTTTTTATTTTACAGCCTGGCAAAACTAAAGTTTTACTTATTAATGGGAGCTAACTGACCTAGCATTAGTTAATGATTTTTGCTATTAAGCAATTAGTTACAACTTACAAAGAATTTATAAAAGGGTGCCTTATCTTAATGACATAAAAATAAATACCACAGAAGCTGATATATAAAAGATTCGTCCATGATTAAAATATGCATCTTATTGGGAATATATGTTCTAGAGAAATAAAAAATTAATTTGTAGAAAAGGGAGTAGATATAGCACATAGGCATACAAGTAACACTGGGTCCCCAATTTTGCTGTTATGTTCTGTATCAGCTGTCTTTATAGGCATTATAAAGTGCTGCTGCTTATGACTCCACTGGAGACAAAATACATAGGCTAGATAAGAGGTTATTGCACAATTTTTAGTTGCTGACCACTGTTGAAATAAACGACAGAGAAAGTCTCCAGTCTCTAAACTTTATCAATAATTAATTCACTTTCAATGCAGTAGTATATGCCTATATATCCCAGAGTCGCCTACACTGTGGTCTTTATGCTGTTTCTTACTTATAGAGGTAAAATGCTGAACTCATTCATTCATTGGTTTTTCTTGGCCTTAAAAATAGTCTTATTTTTATTTTAATTATATGCCCGTCTAACATTACACCATGTATAACTCTACACTGTGTAAACTGAACTTAAGGTTATTTAACAAACCAATAAAATTCCTACAATTTCTTTTTTAACCAAGGACATGACCTCAGTGTCCTCAATGCTATCTGCAGCCCTGGTACTCAGTGGTCTGGTGAGTTCACAGTGACCTTGTCTTCATTTTCTCTTCTTACCTCCTGTAATGTAGCTGTGTGTTTGTGGTATAATTGAGTTATATCATGTTTGTATTAGTACTATGATACATATTATAGAAATAAAAAGGTATGGTTCACTTATCTCAATTAATTGCTTTAGGAGTTGCTATGACAAAGTGTTGAATCATGTTGTTGTTGAGGTCTTTATGGTTCAAGCTTAAGTGTAGACCTTTAATACAGCCAGTCAGAAAAATGTCAAGTCATGTCAGCATCAGCGTCTCTAATGGAAAACAATAGTCCTCAAAATGTCCCATGTGAAAAGCCACCCAGCTCTTTGCTGTGTTCTTATCATTTGACAAGTTAATTATAGACTAATTATTCCATTTAGATTTAAGCCTATTATCTATATATTTATTTTAAAATATTATATAATCTAATTGTAGCTCTTTTGTATTGTTTTATCCATCTCTAGATTTTATGCTTCTTTTCCATTTCCACTAACAAACAGCTTGACTGAGTGCAACTGACACACAGGACTCCAGGTTTATTACGACCTGAATCAACTCTTAATTTATCTGTTTAACTGCTGTTGGGTCTGTACAATAGTGGCCATTTTGTTTTTATAACAACAACAAGTCATCAACTAAACGTGAGGAAGTAATCAGGTTAATGTTAATCAACACCATCAATCAAACATTTATCAAAGAAAGCAGCAAAGCTGAAGTGTTGTGATCTATTCAGCAGGGCAACAGCGCCTCTTGTGGGTTGACCTCAGGCACTGCTGCTAATCAATCCTGAAAATGAATTTATGTGTGTAAGCCTAAATGTACAGGAATGTAAATAAAAACATTAACAGAAATAATGACTGACCCTGAGAGTTTCTATACAGACATCATAACTGATTATCTGAGGCAGTGTAAGGTGGAAAAGGTTGAAATAATAATCAGTCGGAAAGTTATTTAAACCACAGAATTTCCCGGAAGCCTCTGCACAGGTCCACACGACCCTTTAGGTTATCTCCTAAAGGTTACATTCAGCAAAGCAACATTTATTTTTTCCAATTGCCTTAAGAGAGAATTTCGTTCTTCCTCAAAGTCTCAGCAGGTGTAAATGCTGCAGTTTGTACAGGTCATTTCAAGTAAATATCTAGAAACTTGGTGTACATTAATTTCTTATTTTATTATTTCTGTGTTAATTGTTGGTTATTTGTTTGTATATATTGTTTGTTACCCATGATAAATAATAAAAAGTAGACCAAATTTCCAAGTGAATGCAAATTGAAGTTTGACGACCAAGTGAGGCCTTTAATTGTATGACTATGATTTATAATAATAAATGATATTCTCAATTAGTTCAATCTCACTTTGTGTGGTGTTTTAGTAAAATAGAAAACACTAAAATAAACTACACTGTCCTACTTCATCGACTGTTTCAAAGTTATTCAGTCCCATAACATTTTATTTTTGTACCTGCAATAATATGAATCTCTGTATCTGGAGAGATTCTAATACATTTAATTTAATCTCTTCAGAAAGTAAATAGTAACAATTCAATAAAACTCACCAGAAATTAGATGTCAAATGTAGCATCCAGATACAGCCAGCATTTGTTTTTTAAAGGAGATTTAAATTCACGTCATTCCAGCTTATTAAAAATTCACAAAAGCAAGAATCAGATGAGACTTAAGATCTTATGAGCACCAAACACTCTCTGCCCTTGCATTTGCTGAGTCAGTGGGACAGTCCGCTCCAAAAAGATCCCCTTTTTAAAAGAAATCCCCCCTCTGGTCTCCTGGGGGGCCTGTGTGCGCCACCGGTGATGCTTCTGTTCATAAAAGTCTGACACCTCATGTGAAAGTGAGAAAGTAATTGACGCACTTGTGTGAGATACTGGCGGCAGTCCCGGCCGCGGCCACTGGGGGCGCTGACGGTTTTCTTGTGTATTTATAAAGACCAAAGAATTCAGCTCGCTGCTTTCAGGAAGTGCAGTGAAGTTGTTGTGAAAGCTGACTGAGAACCACCTCGGAAACTAAAGTAGGATCATTTTGCAGTTTTTGTCTGTTAAGCTGATATGATAGAGAGACACGTTGTGTTTGTTTGCCTGCGGGTGTCGTCGCGGTGGCAGGCAACGTCACATCTCCCCACCTGTCACATTACTGCACATCTGCGTGTTTATTCACAAAACAAAGTCCACCTCATTCTGTCCTCGATAACATGATCCACAGGACTGGGTTTCCTGTAGTAAAGCAGTCGCCAGCAGAGAGATTATATTGCGTATAATAATGTTAAGGTCAAGGTTAACGCATACTGTGAGGAATATATATTTATATTACTGCAAGTTACATACAGTGATGTTCATAGTGTCAACTGTATGCACATTTAGGAGGTTGTAGTTGTATATAACGTTATGTTGTGAATGTAATATACGTGTTATTCTTTTTGTTTTTTCGGCTCTTTCACTTTCACAGGCTTCATTCAAACGTCAAAACGTTCAACGCAATTAGGACATTATTGCTCGTACTTTTCCTCATTCATACCTTTCATAGTTTCCATGATATTCCCGTTTTCCTTCAGCTAAACTCTCAATCTGATGAAGCCTTTTAAAAGCCAGGAGACACACAGAGCAGGCAGCATCACCATGGCAACACCCAGCTGATTGAGATGAGCTAATTAACCCAGTTTGACAGACAGACGAGCAAAGAGACA